CATTGGGCTTGTCTTTGGGATTTTCTATCGAGGTCCGAGACTAGGATCGCCAAACGGTTGCGATCATCTTGACAAATACATTCGATGAAATCTTTCCCCCTAGCACCATAACACCGTTCCCTTCGTACCCCGAATTATATCCACGTTTCCCGATATCAGACCGGTGTAATAAACGTATACCTCTCGCTCTACGAGTTTCTTTTTCTTTCGATCAGTCTTTACGCTTTGTTTCGTTTGAAATGTTCGCATGCAAAAAATTTGCTCGTAAACGGAAGTATTGCGGTTGATTTTTCGTTTCATTGAAATTATCCTGGAAGACGCACGTTGTTCATCCCATCGATACGTTGAAACGTTCGAAAAGGGATTCCTTTGTTCATCACGAAAACACAGAGAAAAAACACGGTTTCGTTTGATTCGTAAACGGTAACATTCTTCCGATCACGTTTTAGGCACATGGAGTCTTCTTAAAAAATCACATCGAACTGTGTTTGCTATTTGAAGAAAGGCTTGCGAAGAAACGTAAGAGGCCGCGACATTGAAAATACGATCTGGCATTTTTGCTTCCAAGTTTTCACGAAATATCAACGTAGAAGCTGAGAGGGTCGCGCACGATCTTATCATCGCGGTGTACAGCGATCGTGTGGCGATTACAGAGTCGAAGAAGGAAAGCTATTCGTACGATTTTCATCGATCGGATGATCTATCGATCTCGCACGAGACACAGACGAACAAGGGTAAGTCGAACGAGAGAGAACAAAGTCGGTCGACCACGAGAAGAGATCGGTCGTCCAACCAGAGTCTGGTTGGATTTAGCTTAGATTTACAATCGAACGATTCGTAAGAGTTAAGATAAGACGCTTAGAGGTAAGGACGAGCGGAATGCTCGAGAAACTAGACGAAGTGGTTGCAAATGTTTGCCCTTCGCGAAACGGTAAGAAGAACCCGTGACAGGGAAGAATTCACGAAGGATAACGCGACAGAGATAGAAGAAGAACCGTGGCTGGGAAGATGACGGAAGCGAAAAGTTCGATGAAACTTTGCTAACTCTAAGAGATAAATACGAGAGATTCAACGCCTCTATCGTATCGTCGGATACGCTTCTTCGCTAATTAACGCTTGGCCGGCACGCGGGATCCTCGTCGAATTTCCATTTGACTAGAATCTTGTCTCGGAATAATCCTTCGTCGAGCGTTTGGTCCTTGATCGAGGGATTTATCTCGAATTCGTTGGGTCTCGAAGGAAGCTCTTTTAACGCGGTTAATTATCGCGAGGATCGATCGTATCGTATCGTATCGGATCGTTCGTATTGTCCTCGATGTTAAAAATAAACACCGGTCACGTTTTACGTATCTTTACAAAATAACGCGTCTCTTTCCTCAGTTTATTTCGTTCTTTTCTTCTTTTCCAACGATCGCAAAGCGTGTTTTATTCGTAGTTTACTAATTGCTAATATTATCACAGAGATCCCCGTGCGATAAACGTTTGAAATTCGACGGATCCGTCGTTGCCCGGCCAAACCTCGTGGAAAGACATGTTTCTTTTTCCTCCGTACTGCGTACGTCTCCGTAAACTTACTATGCAATATATGTATGTATAATATTTCATATATATATATATATATATATGTATATACAATATATATATAATTTTTTTTTGATTTAAATAGATTCTCTATCTCGACTATTATTCTATGTTAGGTAAAGGCCCGCTTTAGGCCCGTCTGTAAACTAGACGACTCTAATCGAAACGAGAGATATCGGCGCAAAGTGATCGAACCGATAATCGATCGAATTCGTTCGATCCCTTCGTCGATTCCCAAACTATGCAACTTTGACAAAAATAATGTAACTTTGATCAGACGCGAACGCGTCGACGACTACGAGGACGAGTAAAGAAAAAGGAGAAACGTTGTCTACGATCACGATTTTCCGATTTTCGTTCGATCGAAGTCGTCGATGCGTCGCGCGAAACTCGACGAAACTGTACCATCTGTCTGACTAGAATTTCTGAACGATACTTAAAAGCTACGTTACACTAGAGAGCTAGAATCGAGATACTATTTAGCGTCGGAGATTTTTCGTTGCACCGAGAATTTTTCTGGATTCTTCCGATCGAGAATCGGTTTGCTAAATCCACGGCAGCTCGATCGTCGCGATTATCGAATCGAGAGAAGATCGTCTCGTCAGATGATCGCGGGGATCGAGCGAGCCTATCATCGAATCGATCAACGGACGACGGAATTTCTGTCGCGGAACATCCGTTTCGCATTCGCGGCGGGTCGCACAGAAATTCTTGCTTTCCCTTACAATTAGTATAAAAATAATTGGGCAATTTGATAATCTGTCAGAAGCACGATAACGCTGCTGGAACTCTCGCAGCGTTCTTCACGAACCTCTCTAAAATATTCAACAATGCGTTTTACATTTGTCTCGCCTTTTAAACGCGCTACATTCGTCAAATTGGATCCAACAACAGCTTCGTGCCGCGTCGAACGACGGCTCTCTAATTTCTCTACATCGATAACAACGGCTACGAAACCGTCTCGCGTTTGATCTAGGACTCTATCGTCGAGCACGAAGCAAAATTCTTCTCGACTCGTACGACGGAAACGTATTGTCACTTGTGTGTGCGGCTGTTTCGACCTACGTCAACCAGGAACACATGTTTTGCTGTTACCGTCTGGCTAATTGCCGGTATTGCAACGAGCGGGCGGGAAAACAATGGGAACACCTGAAAGATTGAAAAAAAAGAAAAAAAAAAGGAGGGGGTGGAGGATGAAACGTTTGAAAGGAATACCATACGCACAGCGTCTTCTTCCGGGGGTTGGTTCCTTCCCAGGGAACAAAGTGAAAAGCAAGAGTTTGCAAACGCTCGCGACGATCTAAGCTAAGAGAAATTTCTTGGACTTGTTTCTAACCCTACGAAGGGTGCTGGTTCGTTCGGTGAGTTGGTTTCAGGCCCTTTGATTGACAGCGGCGGTGGTCGCGGTGGCTGAAGCGGTGCTGGCCGTGACGGAAGCGGACGCCGATGATTGAGGTGCCACGTGGCGATGGTTGATGTGCGCCTTCAGATTCCTCTCGTACTTGGAGCTGAACGCGCAATGAGGGCAATTGAAGGAGGGCGCCTTGCCGCATTCGTACAGCAGGTGTCTTTTCAGTATGTAAGCGTTCTTGTAGCTTTTACCGCAGCGCGAGCAATTGTGTCGCCGATCTAATCCCGACACCGACACGCTGCTCGATCTGCTACTGTTGTTATTATTATTGTTGTTGTTGTTGTTGTTGTTGTTGTTGTTATTGTTTCGGCCGCTGTGACGTGAGGGACAGTGAAGCCTGGCACGTCTTTGGGGCGTCAAAGGAGCGGGCACGTCGTTCGCGGATTGTCGCGAACCGCGCCTGGTGCCGTCCAAATTCCAGCCGAGGCTCGCGAAGAAACCTGAAAGCAATTGAAACAGAGGTTTCGACGGGACGATTAGTAGCTGATATCTTCTCGATAAGGCGCGGTTCGTTCGTAACACGATTGCTCTTTACAACGGCGCGGGCCATGCGATAAAAAGAAAAACATTCAAGTTCTCAAGCTTAGCAACAACGAGCATGTCAAGAGGGAGGAGGATCAACGAAGGGGGTCTCATTCGGACGTTCTACTCGCGGAGAATCTCCTCGCGACGGAGATTCCCGAGGGACCGGTCAATTTTTCGGAGATGACTTTGCGGCTATGAGCGATCGTTGATGATACGTTTGCGTGAGATGCTTCCCTTTTTCTTTTCTTTCTTTTTTTTTTTTTTAAATAAAGGGCTTTGTACACCTTGCTTCCTTCCCGCTGAAACTCGAACAGGATCTTCCTTCGTTCTTCCGAATTTTTCTTCCTGCCTTCCTGCCGGATGTCACGCTCTTTCCAACCGACCTGAAATTCAAGCAACGCGACGATTAGTAATCACGTCTTCAATGATAATAACACCTGGTGTTTTCTATTATTTTCCTGGTAAGATCGAGGTCCTTCAGGCGTCCATCTTGCTCGAGGGTGGTCTTCTTTCTTGAGAAAATCGCCGTGGTCTTGAACCGATCGCAGGCGACGATACCTGCGAAAAACGAAACTGGTTAGTATGCGGAAATAACGCGAGCCATAACCCTTTTATCCTGCGCGTCGATCCATAATTAACGAGTCGCCGATGGCCCAGCTGAAAGTAGACGAAAAAACAACCGACGAAACAGAAACGGGAAATGGTACGCAGACTGTTTGCCTTTCTAGACTTTATTTTGCTCTAAATCGAATACAAGGCTCTCTACAAATTGACAAAAAAAAAAGAAAAAAGGAGGGAAACAAGCATTTTGGAATGTTCGAAAAGTCGAAACGATACGTGTACATAAAAAAAAAAAAAAAATGAAAAGAAAGCACAGTGGTGTAAGAAAATAGGAAGCGACCGACCGATCGAACGACGGAATCGCGCACTTTGTTTCGGTCGATCAATTATTCAATTATCCAAATACTGTCGAGAATCCGGAGAGGAATCGTCGCGTTCCTCCGTTCGACCGATCGTTCTACAAATTTTACAAGCAAGCGACTCTTCTCGCGCGATACAACGATGCCAATGGATTAAAAAAAAAAAAAAAAAAAAAAATAAAGGAAAAAGAAATTACGGCGACGCGTAACCGTGTTTCGTCGTGTTGCGTTTGATGATCGCGAACGGTGGAAAAACGCGCGCGATTTTCGTTCCAGCGAGCGGTTATCGAACGCGTCCCTGTACACGCGGGATTGTTTCAACGTGCGTGCGGATTCGTCGCAAGAGAACAAGCAAAAACATTATCTAGAAAGAATATCGTTATCATCGTAGCGTAATCGTTAATAATTATTGCGCTCTAAATAATATTAATATAAAATGGAGACAAAAAGGATGTAATAATAATAATTCATCGTTCGTTGGCAAATACATGGCGACAAAGAAAGTACGATTACAAGTATGTTTTGCGTTCGAGGCGCTGAGGCGGAAGTTATAGTTGCATTAGTTTTTTTTTTTTTTTTGTCTTTACGTGCTCTTTGTTCTTCCTCTCGCACACGCGTACAAGCTGTCACATACAGACACACACACACGCACACACTTTCAATTTCTCTCATATTCTTCGACGATCTTTCGTTATTATTCGGTCGCTCTTTCGCTAATACACACGCATACGCTTCTTTCGTTCACTCTTTTTCTCTATACAGTTCAGTAGTGGTGCTTGTACTAATTATAAGAATATCGTACTTAAGCTGGGGCGCGAGATGCTCTTCGAGGGCGGCGATGAGCTTCGTCGTAGGCACTGTATAATACTTTTTTTTTTTAGTCGAAGCATTTCGTATCTCGTTCAACTGGATGGACTTTCGGTGCCCGAGAGGATCGTTGCGCTCGACGGGCATCCCCCGTCTGTTTTAGGGGACGTTTCCGCTGCCCCGAAGAGATCTCCCGCTCCGTTTCTTTTTCTATACGCGGCCTCGTGCCGCTCGCGGTAAATTCGCTATTATTTATTACAGATAATTGTACTGTTTTAATGAAACACGAACGAACGAAAGAACTGTAATAAAGGAACACGAGTACCGTTCTACTCGTCGCTAGAACGAAACAAATACAGGGGAGGGGATATAGAAACAGGAAGAAAAAGGGTTAAAATGAAGGAAAAGTACAAGTAGATATTGAAATAAGGAGAAACGTGTGTCTGGAGTGTAACTAGGAGCTGTATAGTTTAAATAAACACGCGGGAATCACATTGCGGTTGTCAGGAGAAGAAAAAGGAACAATGTAACGCGTAAGGGATGTGGTGGTTGTGGTGGTGGTGGTGGTCACTATGTATATGGATCGACAACGAAGATGAGTACGTCTTAGCGGATACATTGGCAGTATAAAGGCGAGTGATCGAGATTAAATTCTGCTTCGTTCGGCGTAAATAAATAATTTCTAAAAAAATATCACTGGTCTCAAGATGTTCGCCGAGTGCCATTTTCCTAAGCGGTATATATTTTCGCGTATAATATCTATCGATCAACTCCTCTTCCTATCTTTCTTCGTTTGCTCTTTTTTTTTTTTTCTTCTTCGTCACGCTTTGTACGAGTCGAATTTCACGGCGGCAGTATTATAAAAGCCTCTATCAAAATGTTTCGTCGTTTCACACCGAAGAAATGAAGAATCGATAGGAAGAGAATCCGCATCGAACCGTAGTAGTTAGCCATCGATTTGTTCTCTGTGCATGACACCCGGCCAATAATACCGTAGAAATTCGTTCACAGCTGGATGCGCCCAGCGCCTCTTATTTTTCTTTTTTTTTCTCCTTCGTCTATCCTAAAATCTAAGTCGTACTTGAAGGCACTTAACACAAGGCTCTCTCGGTTCAGAAGCTACATCGTTCTTTCGGTGACACGTTTTGTCTCGTGACTTTATGTGATTTTCTTTTTTCTTTTTTTTTTTTTTTATTTTTCGTACGCTTCGCTTTCGTTACGCCGTTCCTTTTCGTTTCTTTCCGTTTCCCTTCTCGCACGCTTCGCGCAAAAACCGCTAAGGAAAGTATGTACCTACGATTTGTATATACACCGGGGTTCAGTGGTCGATTCTCGCTGTTTCTATTCTCGCGTCAATCGATTTCCATTTGTCTCGCCAAAAATTTTCCTCATTCAAAATTTCATTTCGTTTCTCGTCTCTCAGACGCGGGAAATGTTTGGACACGGAACGAGCGACGAACGCGTCGCGGTCGTCGGGAAAATCAATCGCAGTACCTGACTGCGGTTCTGAAATTTCAATTCATAGTACGATTGTTTTCTAGTACGATATACATAGTACGATATTTTTCAAAAAGGAAATCGATACTTTTCTCTTTCACTTTCCCTCCCTCTCCGTCTACTATTCTCTTCACGGACTTTGCCATTCGCGTTCTATCGGATTAGTTTTTCAAACTCGAGAGCCGAATCAGATTCACGGAGCGTTTCGTTCGATTAGACTCGGAAAACAGCGGGCGATTATAAAGATTGAATCGTCGCGATTCGAAGTAATCCTAAATACAAAGATAAAGATAATTCTCTTTTAGACCAGAGTTAGCGTAACGAGCGTTTTCTGTCACACAGAACGCTGCGCTGTTTCGCGATCTCGTTTTCGCTAACATCTCCTTTCAAAACCCGTGTTCCGAGTTGACGCAAGTTTTCGACGTTGCCTGTCTATAAGTATCTTTCTATATAAATTTTCTTTTTTTTTTTTTTTAGTTTTATCTATTTGCTTAAAAGCTAAGGGCCCCGGTACGTCAAAGGGCCGTTGCGATCGTTTGTCTCTCTCTCGAGGGCCGCGTGCCTTCTTTCCGTCGTCGAATTTTCCCGCTTTTCTTTTTTTTACCGGAAGAGTAACCAAACAACTTTCCTCTGTCTCGTTTACTTGGAAATTTTTCCACGACAGAACGCGATGTTTCGTGCTTCTCTTATCCAGCCACTCTTTCTCGCATACTTTTGTCCAAACGATTAACACTCGTACCGTTGTCACTCGTAGCAAAAACAACCGGACTCTTTGAAAAATATAGAGCGTGGCCGAAAACTATTTCTATTTACCAATCGAGACAGATATCTCCAGCCCAAGCGAATACGAAAGTCGAAGCTTTCGATCGATTCGAGACGCGATCATTCGTTGATCCTTCGCCGACCACCCGATGATCATTATTTTTCGCTTTCACACAAGTCTAGCAATTGAAAAAATCAATTTCTCTTTCTCTCTACCTATCTCGCACTCGCATACCATGTTTCTCTTTCTCTTTCACTCTCACTTTCGTTTTCCCTTTTGCTCTTTCAATTTACCATCGCCTAATTTATTCTATAAAACGCGAATGCTCTGCAATCGAAACGTTTTTTCTTATTCTTTTATCTGTATTTTTTTTTTTTTTCAATAATTTTTCATATTTTTTTTTCCACAAATTCTCGCGTTTACTATAAGATATATAATAGAAATATAGAACGTTATAGAAAAAATAAAGCGGTGTGTACTTTCTAAATTCCTGGATGGCATATGTCTGTCACACTTTTTTATTTCGCGAATTGCCCTACGTATCCTACACGCTACTTTATAAATTCCGATCTAATCCTCGCCGGAATCGTGTTTTTTTTATTTTACCTCCCTTCTTTTAAACCACTTTCCCTTCGAAAGTAAATATCGCGAAACAAAGAAAATGATCGGCCTCCTGAGAAACCGCACGAGCCTGATAAAGCTTAAGCCCTAGGGCGAAAAAAACGATTAATTTTTTTAAAAACGATATAACGTAATATCTTTCCGTGGCATTTTTTTTCCTTTTCTTTTTCCGATTTTTTTTTTATGCTAACTTTTCCTTTTTTTCCTCTCTTAATAATATATAATATATATATATATATAATCGACGAATACCTTTGCATCGAGGCGCTAAACAATTTCTTAATAAATAGATCTTTCTTTCCTTGCAAACAAAAGAATAATAAATTTTGTAACATCGCGAATCTCTATAAATTTTTTCGATAAAACGTTCAACGCGACCACGTGAAGTTTCTCGCGAGACCTTAAACTATAAATTCACCGTTCAAATATCACACACTATGCGCGCGTTTCCTCCAAAATTATCGCGAGCAACGAAATACGATCGATTCATTAACACCGAACGTAAAAGCCGCCAATTTTGAAACACTGAAAGACTAACAAAATATTTTCAATTTCAACAAATGTAACATATGGAAAATTGCTACTCCATACGATCGTATTTCGCTCAAATAATTTTCTGCTTTGCCTTATACATATATATATATCCTTTTTTTTGTACACCTTTTAATAATTCATCCCTTCTCCCGACAAATAAAAACATCGTTTCTGCGCCTAATTAGAAATGCCTAACGATAAAAATAATTAAAAAAAAGAAATTATCGACATTACATTTTGCCTCGCCATCCTCGAGCTGTCATTTAGGTCTCGATATTTTCGCGACAGCATATTTTGCTTTTTTTTTTCTTCGCTTTCGGTTAGAGTTTTTCCCAATCCCAAACCGACACCCAAAATAAAGAATATTCAAAAACAAATTCCTCGTTGGCCTGCCGCGGCGCGATCAGTTTTGTCGCGGCAGCCTTAATAATCGTAAAAATATAATGAAAAAACCTAATTAAAAAAACAAAAAAAGAAAAGAAAACATAAGTAAACGATTATTAATAAGCCCAATTATAATGCGCATGATTCGAGTTAAACATGATTAAAAGCCACGACAATTAGTACAAAAAACGAATTCGTAAAAAAGCTACCATTTTATCCTCTTTTTTTTTTAAACGACGATTCCCTCGTGTACTCGCGCGTATTATATACGTGTGTGTATATATATATATTTTTATCTATACACGTATATGTATATGTATATCTATACATGTAATATTTTCGTTTTTCTTATCCCAAAGATTCTATACTTTTTCTCCTGCTCTTTTTAGCCACGACCTTTTTATGCATTTGTACGTCTATACGCTTTTTCTTTCATTTGAAAAGAATGTGAAACCGAATCTAGAGATATCCAGCGTTCCTTCTATCGTTTTCCTCTTCGTATTTCCCCGCGTTTCAGCTACGATCAACGTTAATTTCAGCCGCGATAAAAGTGTTATGCCAGCGTGTATCGGTGTATCTATAATAATCTTTAGATTCTCGTGTTCTTTCTCTTCCTAAACTTTTCAAAGGCACATGTAACAAGAACGAATTTACCGTATGCTGTCTTCGTACGCGAAATAATCCTCGCAAGATCGATCAACAAAGAGGCTGGAGAAGCATCGAATCTTTTTTTAACGAAAATAGAGCGAGAGAAAAACACTCGAAGAAAATAGAGAAAAAGATAGGGAAAACGAGGATGAAAAAAGGATCGAATCTTTATCCTTCAACGCGTACCGATTTATACGGAGGTGAAATCTTGCCTAACGATCACGCGACAGTTTTTAATTTCTCAAAGATAAATGCGTCAACTATCCATCTTCATTAATTATGTAAATTTGTGTGCTTTCAAAAATTGATCGATCGCGAGGAAAAGAAGAAGGTTCGGCTCCTTCTCTCTCGAGAGTGATCTTCGAAAGAGTTGGTACAGCTATGCGAACGAAACACAAAAAGAACAAGTTTCTTTTCAAACTCTTTCCGATATAAATTTGCGAGCGATTGGAAGCTTCCTGCCACCCCTCTCTCTCTTCCTCTCTATTTCCGCCCACACCAAACGACTTATTTATCGTTCTCTATCACGACGGTTGATTATCACGTACCCTCCACGATCTCTTTCCACCGTTTCTCTCGAAATTTCCCTTTCACGCAATTACACGCGCTCTTTCTTTCGCACTTTCTCGCTCTCTCGTTATTTCACACGCCTCTAGCTCACAGCAGTTCGGTTCTCTCTTCCTAATTGTCTGAATTATTCGTCCGGCTCGGCCGACCACAGATTCTCGCACGGCGAACGCTAAGGCGTCCCATTCCGTCTTCTTACATACAAGAGAAAAGTAAGAAAGAAAAAAAAAAAAGAAGAAAGGAGTCATTAAAACCTACGACCTAGCTAATATTATTTCTTACGTGCCTAATAATCTAGTAATCTCCGTCGATGACGGCGGTCGGTTGTTGGCCCGTCGCCGCAAGGAAATCTGCCCGTTCCACCCCCGTTCTAAATTCCGCCCCGTATTTCCTCCTCGGCACAATTTCCCCCGACTAATATTGTTTCGCGAACGTTTGAAACCAGCTCCGTTCTCGTTCGTTCATCGACCGCCGCCACGCATCAAGGCCTCGTGAGGCAGTAATATTATCGATTAACATTACTCAGTAACTATATGTATCAAGTCGATCCATAAACGTGTTCAGCGTTAACACTATCTCTCTTATCCGTCTCCCGATCGTCCCCCAATCCCTGATACCTCTCTATTTAATACGTGGATTCTTATCGTGTCAATCCCATTCAAACTGCATCGTCCGGCCTCGTTCTCCAACCAGTCCCACCCAACCCCATCGCTCTCACCCACCCTTAGGCACCCGCTATACCGATCTCCGTGTCTCGTCTCTCACTATCTTCGATCATTAGTAGCCATTTGTTCGCTTAGCATGCGATATATCGTATATAACGCGTCGACGGACGAGTTCTCGATCGGCCTGGCAAAAGGAAAATGAAGGAAATCGGAGGAGGGAAATCAGCGTCGCTGTCGTCGAAAATGCTGGTTTCCCTGGTCGGAAATAATATATACGTACGCGGATGGCTAGTTATTGCACTCGTACGGAGAGGAATTGATCCTGGCCTGCTTCGCTTTGACCGATGTTTCTCTCCGTTTCAAGTTTTCTCTCGGCTCGCGTTTTCAACGAAGAGACCGAGAGTTTCGCGGGGTTGTTTGCTGATTTTTTTTTCATTCGCGCAGCTTCTATTTACATGAATGCAAGTGCGTCCTGCGTTCTGTTGCAGATCGACTGGTTAACGGTGGTCGATCGAGAACTCGGCCGCGGAATAACGCGGAGCGAGGAGCACGCTCGTCAGTGAGGAAACGAAATTAAATCTATCGCTTCGTTCGCGTCAGACGTTGCGCACATACTTACAGTGTACAAATATGAATTACGAGTATAGTTTAGTTTAGGTTAGCTTGTCTCATAAATATTGTCTACAGTATGGAAAGTCGGGCAGCCGTGGCGCGCGTATTTGGCGTAGGAATACGGGACCGGATGCCAGGTACTTGCCGAGCACGCGCGTCGTCTTAATCGTCAAGTCGGATACGGATGAACTAGTTTAGTCGAGGAACATCCACGTTTACGGTTCGTTCTCTGCGATCACAGCGCGACCAGGAATTAACGACGGAGCGTTTTGCGGGGGAGGAAAAAAATAGGCTCGAATCGCGTGGAGGTCCGCGTCGCAGAGAGGACCGCGCGGAAAAAGCGGTTCACGGTACGGTGGAAGAACGTTGTCGTAGAAAAGGTGAAAAGCTTAAGAGAAAAACGAAAAAGAAAAAAAAAAATGGAAAAAGAGAAACGCGGTTAAGTCATCGTGCTCGGCGCAAGTTTCTCGCGGTTCGTTGCATCGGACTGGTCGACGTGCTTCTTGTGTCGCCGGCAGTGAACAAAAGTATCGCGAGGGATCTTAAACTCGAGGATCGCTTAATTAAAGAACGAAAAAAAAAAAAAAAAGCATTAATCATACGCGTTATATAATATAAATATATGTATATACTTAAATGCATCGTATAGGAATCTACTGGTTCGTGTATCTGGCAGTCTGACGATCACAATGCTATAGGAATACCTCGTGGTATTTAAAATATCCGTATCATTAATTGTACGTACGAGTATGTATGTATGCGTGAATATACGTGTATGGGGTATGTACGTATACATATATAGTGGAGGTGTGTTCGTTAGAGTTTCAAACGAATGGAAGGAAGCATTAGAGATAAGCAAAAGACTTGGCGACGCCGATCGACTTCGATCGGCGTCGGTGCTTAATACTGTGTACCCTCTCTGGTTCGTTGCTTTAGCAGCGAAAAAAAGAAAAAAAAGGAATATATCAAAATGGCTGCCTTTCTCGAAAGAGGAAAAGGCCGAACGGATTGCGGTTTGAGTACTGAATCTCTCGGTTCTTACGTGTACATTCGAGTTTGGTGCGTGCAAATGTGTGTCTAAAGTTGCGACGAGAAGCACGCGAACCGGATCGAGCAACATTCCCCGCCTACGATATCATACACGAGTAATTGTTTGTCAGTCAGCATTCAAGTGAATTTTTTGGAAATTCATTTCCATCGCACGATTTTTGTGTCCCCGGTGAGCCACACGCGCACGGCTGAGCCCTTTTAAAAATATGGAACCAGTGTGACCAGAATGGTTGCTATGGAAGAGCTCCGGTTTACCGGACGGTCTTGATCCGACTCGGGGCGAGCCGTTCTAACACGGACGACTCTATCTGAGTATACGTACTATAATAATGATAATAATAATATTAATAATAATATAGTAATAGTAATAGTATTAATAATAGGTGTGTTCGGTTCGGGCCTCTTTCGTGGTTCGTTTGAAATCGCATTATCTGCTTACTATCTTCTAGGAATCGTCGAACACATTGGAAATGTATGTCGCGCGATCGTCCGATCGAGGATTCTATCCCTCTCGCAGCTACGCGAACACTCGTGTATCTTCTCGTTGTCAGTTTTAAGAAAGTGTACACGCGTGCTAATACGCCACGATCGTAATAAAAATCCAAGATTGATGATCGATCGTTTGTAAGAGGAACGTTATCGTGATTTGGCTACGAATACATCGCCCCGAGCGGGAATTTGACGCGTTCTCTCGTTTATACGCGGTATATCTCGTTGCGCAAAAATAATAATAATAATTAATAATAATAATAAACCTTAAAAAACGTTAAAAAAAATAGAATCCAAAATCGAGATAAGGAGGATTGGCAATTGCCCGGTTCGGTGGCTGCCGCGGCAGCCCAGCCAGCCGCGTCTCGTCTTCCCATCTCACCATCCTCGATCGCTTTCTTTTCCATCGTCATCCTCGCTGTTATTAGCCTCGTTCTCATATTCCAATCGCGTCGCTCGTCTTCTTCGATGTCCCAGCGCAAGCTCAGCCCCGTCGATCGAGCGCGAAAGTCCTCGTCCTGGCTAGTTTCCTCTTCCTGTTCCTGCTGGTCGCGGCTTTCCGTTGGTTCGCGCACCGCGCGACCACCCCTTTCGCGCCCGGACGACCACGTCGACGTCGACGCCGACGATCCTCGCTTCGTACACCGTAACCCGTCCCTCCCGAAACACCACCCCCCCATCCCGTACCGACCCGGTTAGACGAGCTCCTGTTTGTAGATCTTCTCTTTGTGCATCCGTTCCATGTGTCGCGCGATGTGCATCTTCTGCTTCGCCCTGTAAACGCAATGAGGGCACTGGAACTGTGGCTCTTTGCCGCACTCCCACTTTTGATGATTCCTCAGGCTGCTCTTGAGCTTGTAGACCCTACCGCAGGCAGGACAGTTGAACCCTTCCGGGTTCGATGAGCCGGAACCGAGGCCTTTGCCCAATCCACCGCCGGACCGCCACATGATCGAGGGAACGCTCCATCGCTGCCAAGCGGCTGCCCACTTTAGACCGGTGATGCTCAAGTCCTCGGCTGGAACACAGGAATCGCGGCTTTATTAGTAAAGTTAGTCAAACGCCGGACCGGCTAAGAATCGGTATCGGTCAATTAAATCCTGCCACGTGATTCTCTCTCTCTCTCTCTTTCTTTCTTTCTTTCTTTCTTTCTTTCGCCTGTTCGCTCGTATATTTGTTCGTACGTCTTGCGCCCGGAGATACGGATCCGAGACGGGAACCGATCCCCCAACCTCTCTATCCTTCTCGTTTCTCAAATAATCGCAACGGCGAACCTGGTCGTGTTTAATAAACGCACCGTGCAAACAGCTAGAGCGAGAAACAACTCGACGCGTGTCGCGTTCCCGGTCAGGCTGTGAACGCCTGCCGAATCTTCCCCTGGGAAAGATAGCTTCGATCGACGTCGATAGCGATACCGATTTTAATTTTTCGTTAATGTGAATTTCTTTCATTTCAGCGCGAGATGAATTTATCGAATGTATCGCTGTCGGAAGATGAGGCTACCTTTCGCGGGTGTTTTCCTGAAAAAGTGATCGCGTTTCGCTCGAAAGCGTCGAGAACGAATCGTCGTCGATGTTTCCCGGTCCAGCGATGCCTTTCGAGAGCGATTCGTTCTCGAGCTCGACGTCCACGCGATCGAAATGCGTAGGATTATTCCTTTTTTAAGAGAGAATAGAGTAATGCACGTTCGTCGTATCCCTACTTTCGAGCCCCAAGCAACTAGCTATGAATTTCGCATACGAAGAAGGAGGAGCGATATCTGTGCGCCTCGAAAGAAACAGAACGTGCAGTATATATATATATATATATATATATATTTCTTTTTTCTTCAAATGATGATCGTTGAACGCGATCGAACGCGGTTCGACCGGTCTGTTCCCTTCGCGGCGCAAGCGATAAAAGTCGTGTTTCTATGTACAAGTTTCGAGAAGAGTTAGTGCGCATGCTACTCCCCTAAAGTCGACGAGAAGAAAGAGAAATCAACAATTCAAGAGGAAGGATACAATTGCGAGCAACGCAATCGAACTGACGATCAAGGATCGCGACGATGCGTTCGATCGTTCGTCGAATCGCCGCCTCGGATTCGAACGAAACGCGAACAACGCGTCGACGCGTTCCTCCGTTTCCGTAATAATGTACAATGTTTCTGTGTCGAAGATGGAGATGACAGAGGTAGAGAATAGATTAAAGATAGATAGATGGAAGGAGAGAGTGAGAGAAATAGATAAAGATTGAAAGAAAGAAAGGCAAAATGCGGAAAAAGAAAGTATACTCTCGCAAAATCGACGAGAAATATTGTTTTCGCTGGTAACAAAAAAGAAAAAAAAAATTTTTTTTGTATATCGTTAATGAGTCGGTACGTAAAAATCGTTGTTTCGTCAACTGGGTTGAAACAAATTCGAACGATTAACCGCTAAATGTAAAGGAAGGTTCTGTTGCGACGTCCAATTTTGAGTACAGCGAAGAAAAAAAAAAAAATAGATTAATGTAAAATTAACGCGCATAATGACAAGGTGGATGTTTGGGTGTCGTTCTGGTACTTTTCGTCTGCTGACACATTTATTTAATCAAACGTACGAAATACGTTAGAACTCGCATATATAACGTTAATACTAATCGCAAAGGTCGCTGCCAATCTGCTTGCCGCGTTTAAACATGGTCAGTCTTAAACGAAAGTTCGCTCACGAACCTCTGTACGCATCTCTCTCTATGTTTTATAGAAAATAGTCTTATACTCGTACCGTCTCTAATGACTCTCTATTTCGTGTATTTTCCTTTTAGTCGTTACTTTCAGACAGATCGCACTTATTGTCCTAAATTTTTTGACCGATTACACTTGCGCTCATCGATAAGGCACTGGAGCGAGTACGCGACACGATCAAACGAAAACTCTATCCTTCTTAGAAAAAACTACCATTCGAGTATTATAAACAAAAAACAAAATAGAAAAAAATTAAAAAACTTGATTAAAAAGAAAGAAGAAAATATAGAAAAAAAAACTCGCAGCTTATTAATGAACTAATTAAAAAAAGAAAAAATGAAAATAAACTCGTTATAACTATAAATTCGATACACAATAATAAATATCAGTCGGTGTGTTCTCAAATTCGAAACACAAGACTTACACGATTAAGATTACCCGATGCACACGTCAAGAAACGAAGCTCGTTTTACGCAAAAATCTGAAACGATCGCCTTCCATGATTCATATAAGTATGTACAAGCAAGGAAAAAAAAAAAAAACATAAAAAAATAAACGCGTATTGTATATGATTATAGTATCGAAGAAAGAAAAAATCGATTCGTTTTCAATAACACGGTTCTCGAAGAGCGATTTCGTTGGCTTCCATTTGCAGCACGGCTCCTCGGTATCGTCGTGGTAGAAATTCGAAAAATATCTATTTTACTCGGAATGATCGTACGCAACGAGCACCGCGTTAAAAACGAGTCGAAGGGTAGGAAAGTTTGGATAGTCCGGTTAATTCGTTCGTTTTTAATTGACGAGGGGACGAAAGCATATTTTGCCGTTCAGTCGATTTCGAGTTTCGGCGTGTAAGCGAGCAAGTAGGCCTCCATGTCTCCGATCTTATCAATGTGTAGCCGACGGATGTGCCTTAACCAGTGGGCCTTTCGTTTACATCGTTGGGGACAAAACGGGCACTGAAACTGAGGCTCCTTGCCGCACTCCCAGTGAACGTGCCGTTGCAACGAGTCCTTCCTCATGTACGATCTTCCGCAGGTGCTGCAGCCGAACTGTCCCGGTGGTTTCTTGCCGACGTAGTTGCAGGCCTTCGGTATCTTCAGCTCGGCGAACGGCAACCCCTGATCCTGCATCTTCCAAGCCTGTACCGGCAAATCAGCGCTCTCCTCCATCACCCACTTCTTCTCCCACGATTTATCTGCAATCCGGAAAAAACAACAGCTTTAGGCCTGTCCCGTGTCTCGCGACGTTTCTCTGCAACACCGTAACCGAGCACACACTTGGTACACATACTCTGTTCGAAGCGATCGCTTTCGATCGACCCGATATCGTATTAAAACAATTTTCTAAAAAAGAACAAAATAGAGAAAGGAAAAAAAAAAAAAGAAAGATTCTTACGTGCTAATGGGGAATCACGGTTGAATAGATTACGCGTGCATGGAAGAAGAAAGTATACAACGTTCGTAACGATTCCACACTTTTCACGTTTTTCTCGTTTACCCCCGGGACGGGGGTTGTTAGTCTTCCAAATTCACACAGATTCGATGCGACGCGTCTATTTCTGACGAATCGGTTGAACGTACCTGTCTGCCGAGCTGGAGAATTCGATTCTCATCGAAGTTTACCTATAAATGCGTGCAATGAAACGTGAATAAAAAAATGATCGTATCGGGTGAATAAATACAAGGCTTTTTTGTCGAAGTATATCATCGCTCTTCAAGTTTTACAATCGTTTCATTCGCGTCTGGTCGGTTTCGATCGGAGACCGCTTTTCTCGCGATCGTCCACGTTCAACACGAAACTGATCAGTTTCTTCTGACTTGCTTCCGGATGCTGGGAGGCAAGATGCCTCAGGACGTTTCCTTTCTGATGGGAACGGTAATCGCAGAACGCGCAACGAAATTTCTTGTCCATCCCGCACGTGCTTCGGTGATTCCAGCATGATTTCGAGGACTTAAAATATTTGAAGCATTTCGGACACTGGTACGGCGTTACTCGGACCATCGCGTATTCCCAGCGAACCGGATCACCTGAAAAATCAAATTAAGGATTTACTACTGTTCCCTTCGATCCTCCTCTCAATCTGATCGTTCGTGGAGAACGAGCAACTAATCTACATGTTCATAGTTTTTCTTCTTTTCGTTCGGAACACCTGGAAAAACGTAAAGAAATCAATTACCGTTCAATCATTATCCTCATTAACAATTTTCTGGTTGATTGAAATGCAAGCAACTTTTACTTGCCTTTCGTGCAGCAAAGCTTAAAAAAATAGCTAGAATAAAAGAAAAGTGTCGTGATTACAAACATATGCAATTAATCGGTGCATAACACCAACGATGTTTCGAATGACAAATAAGAGGTGCATTGAAAAATGTAACTTTTATTCGTTGTAACAAAAGATAAACTATGGAAAATCATAATTCTTAATGAAAAATTCTTACTGTGACAAAACTTCGTGAAAATTTTGTTACGCACATTAAAGAAACAAACGATTTATACATAATTAACGCTGAAAAACGTAATCTCGTTTGAAAATCTTATTACATATAAAGCGCAAAAATGTCTGTCCGCGTCACTTTTCGACTCGACAACTACCAGGGTTAGAGATACACTCTATACATCGTTAGAAATGTCTCACAAGGGGAACTACCCAAGTGTTACACTCACTTATTAATGAAACTTTGCCAGCTGTAGAGCTCCCCTTTTGGAAGCAGACGGCTAATTGTTTAAAAAATATTAACAATTACAGTTAGTTACTCCTTACATTCTGAAGTATGACAAACTCACACATACAACTCGCAATCTAGAGATCCACGGTTCAAATCCTTGGTTCCCAACATATTTTTTTTTTTTTTTTAATGATAATTTGTTTCCTTTTGAATAACTATTACATGAAAATTATCATTAAAAAAAAAAAAAAAACAAAAAAAAAACAAAAAAAAATGTTGGGAACCAAGGATTTGAACCGAGGACCTTTAGATTGCGAGTCATAGATCCGCTCCGTAATTACACACATGACTCGCAATCTAAAGGTCCTCGGTTCAAATCCTCGGTTCCCATTTTTTTTTTTTTTTCTTTTAATGATAATTTTTATGTAATAGATGTTCAAAAAGAGACAAATTATAATTTAAAAAAACTTGCGAACCATGAATTTGAACCGTGGACCTTTAAATTGCGAGTCAAGCGTTTTGTGAGTCTGTCATACTTCTCAATGTAAGTAGTAATTAACTTTAATTATTAATATCTTTTAAACAATTAGCCGTCTGCCCACAAAACGGGGTATAGGCGTGTTCAGCTCGACGAGCTCTACTAGCTGG